TATTGCATTTATTTATGAGAGATCTTGAGCTTATTTTCATGTTTGTTGATTTTTTTTTCTGTGAATTCTGGCCACAGACTTAAGCAGTTGACTTGAACACATTTAGGACTGAGCAGTTTACTGAATTTCACAGAGGATATAGTGACAAAAAGGTCCATCTAACCTAAAAAGCATACTGTTTGGCATAAAATCAATGGATGTATGAGCCAGCACACTGGAAACTGTAGTGAGTGACATTAGACAAGAGAGGGCTTCGCACAAAATGTTGTCTAAGGTCCTCTCTGCCTTTGCTCCCAAACGGCAATACCCCTCTCCCACCCTCAGGCCCATCCCCTGCATCCACCTGCCCTGGGAACTAGGAGTGGCAAGATATGATGGCAAAGACCTACAATGGTCAAGTGTCCCAGGGAGAATCCAACATGGCATGCCCATAATACACTAGCTTGGAGAAGCAAGTTCCTTCTCTTGTTCAACAATATTACTGTACTATATTCTGGGCACTGGGAAACTCAGATGAGAATACAAGGCTTCAGTCTATTTAGAATCTCTCTTTTAATATGGGGCAGACTGAATCCATTAGACATTCGTACTTAATACTGTCTTAAATCAGAGCATCTAACAGACAGACCAGGGGTGGTGATAATAATGGCCAGTGCTGACATGACACCATATGCCAGCCTTTTTTCCCCAGTATTCTCTGCAGGTATTAGATAGAGGGTTCAGTCCTCACGACAACCTCATGAGGGTAGGGGCAGAGGCCACATAATAAAGAACAGAGCAAGAATGTGAACACAGGCTGTCTTCTCCCAGGGTCAATTTGCCGTGAGCCACTACCCCATCTCCCATTTCTGAAATCATGGGAGTGTTGACTGGGACCAGGGAGTGAGGGTTTTGTCCTTGAGTATTGAAAGAGCAGGAGAAAGGGGATATATCACAACAGGTGTTTGGGATTCTTGGGCTCCTAAGAAGCAGGACCTGGATCCCTGGTTCCCTTCCTGGACCCCTCTACATCATCTCGCCGTAGTTTGTCACAGAACATACTGTGAATACGTGTGGGGCGGGTGAATCCCAGGTACCACGTGTGTCTCTGCCCTCACTCCATGGATGGAATCGGAAGGTCTTCTGTTTTTATTTTTTTAGTTCAGGTGATGGGAATATATACTGCTATGTTAGATATGACTTGTCTGGTTTAATGAAATGACTCTCTATTTCCTTTTAGGAGCAGTTTTTTTTACGACAACCTGGTCTGAAATCTGTTGCCTACGGAAACATTAGTGAGCGTGTTGAATTGAGGAAACGATTGGGTTGCAAATCATTTCAGTGGTATTTGGAAAATGTCTTCCCAGAACTGGAGACATCTTAAGGGCAGCCAATGAAAAGGAAACAAATCATTTTCATTAACGAAGGGCTAAAAATCCCCCTATGTCTTCAACACAGAGAAGAGTGCAAGTTTGGAACATCATGAAATTATGTGACATGCAGTAAGAAATACAACCAGAGTGCTCTAGAACAAGAGTGCCTTTCTGTCTTCTTTTAACAATAGTTCTTAACACTTTGTTACACATGCCACTAAATTTCTGGGGCGGCAAAACCTTGAACATTAGAAATACACACAGTCACACAGTTAAGGCTATCATACAATTGAGCAAGGTAGAGTGTATTCTCTTCGTTATTTGCCAGACTCACTTGGTCCCGTTAGACCACAGGGAACGCTCCACTCTTGGAGCCTTTGTCAACTCCATTCCACTCCAGGCAGGTGACCTGGACTGGTGGCCTTCTAAGACGTTCACAGAGAGCCTTGGTTGGTACATACCAACTGAGGCTCAACTGTATTGAGCTCCTCTCTTCCTGCCAGTGTAGATTTGGGTGCTGATTCCTTGCTTGGTTGGGTTCCCGAGTTTCTGATGTCCCATCCACTTGCCGTGGTGTTCCAGTCCAGTTCTCTAGGCCAGTCTTCCAGTTTGCGCCTGTCAGTCCTTTTGTCACTTGGAGACAGTCCTTCTTCCCTGCTTCTGATTTTGCCTTGTTCATATTTCTCCCCTCCTATGGCTCTGGCCTACAGCCCTCCTGATACTTCTTGGATTGTGTGCTCTGTAGTTAATCTATGTTCTGGCTAAGAACTGTTTAGCTGGGACTGGGGAAGAAGTAGCTAAGTTCCCTATCTACCCTGTGTGAACATACTTCCAAATGTCTAAAGTACTTCTTTTGGGTTAGAGGGATGGCTGTTGTGTTCACCCTGGTGGAGGTGGCTAGAAAGGGGGCATATATTTAATTCACAGAGAAAATGAGGGAAAGAACACATTGAAAGGAATAAAAGGAATGGGGGAGACTTGGGGTAGGATCACTAAACCTAGCACACAAGCTAGTTTTTACAGAAGGAGACAACTTATCTATTATGCTCACTCAGTCAGCAATTGAGTGGTCCTCCGGGGCCAGATATCCTTCTTGGTGCTGGGATGCAGCAGACGAGGGAACAGGAAAACATCCCTCCCTTCATGGGGAGTTTATCTAATCTCCTTATACATATGTATTTAGTAAAATACTCTATAGGATCTATTGTTAGATTTATGTATTTAGCAAAATACTCTATAACGACATGGGGAAAACCCAGGCTTATATATTACAGGTGGCCAGGGTAACTTGATTGACCCTTTAAAAAGTCAATCTGGCAACACAAAATAAGCACCACATTATGATTATATTCTTGGACCACACTTGCACCTTACCTGCTTCTAGAAAGTAATAAAAAATGATTATAATAAACCCATGAATCTTAAAATTAGTGTAAAATACAAAATAGAAATCTGTAGCAGAAGGAAAAAAGAATTCTAGTATAAATAAACCATCATTTTGAAATAACTTTTTTCTAGTTCTGAAATCTGAGAATAATTTTTTCTTTGGTAAGCATAAAGGAGGATGTTGTAAATATCAGCTTTGCCAAAAGAAAAAGACAAATGTTCTTAGAGCCATGAAGCCTAATATTAGGTCTTCCGTTTTCTTTTTTTTTCTCTCCTTAGAGAGATAGAGGGCACACGTGTGGGCATGGGGGTAGAGGGCCTGGAGGAGACGGGCAGAGGGAGAGGGAGAGAATCTGAAGCAGACTCCCTGCAGAGGAGGGAGGCCGACACAGGGCTCCATCTAGACCCTGAGATCATGACCTGAGCTGAATCCAGAGGTCAGGCACTCAACAGACTATGAGCCACCCAGGCGTCCCTTTGGTCTTGGTTATTTAATGTGAATGTTGGTTCAGGTACCAGATAACAATGTGAGTTAAGTCTTAGAAATGATCTAGTATGTTCCTTAAACAACTTCTTTTGAATATTGACTCTGGAACAGAAATCAGAATAAACATCCAAGTATTGGTGTGATTGAAAGGAAATCCGTATTAGCCTATAGGTGGCAATTTTCTGTTTCATATGTGGAAACTTAAAAATCTGATTTCTATTGTGGAGCTAGTTGAGAAGTATCTGCTAACCCACTCAAAGCTATTCTCAAAACACAGTTTTTGGTATGATCAAATGTTCAGACAAGCCTTAAAGTAAGCCTGGGAGTTCTCTAATTAAAGCATACTTCTTGGAATGTAGCCTAAGACACAACAGCATGAAAGTGAGCTCCCATTATGTTCCATACACAGTGGTAAGTACTCTCAGTTCAACCACACATAAAATAGGCCCTACTGTTATTGCCATTTCATAGATGGAAAACCAAAGTTAGAATTTGTCCCGGGTTGGGGTTGCCAGTTTTAGCAAACAAAAATACAGGATGCTCTGTCTTTGAAATTTGTATTTTAAATAAGCAATGTTTTGTTAGAAGTATATTTCACATATTCCACGGAACATACTTATACCACAAAACTGTTCTTTGTTTCTCTGAAATTCAAATTTCAGGCCATCCTGTATTTCATCTGGTAACGTTATCTGGGGACAAACTAACACAGCCCATATAGTAGCAGAATCAGCCCAGTCTCAGACTCTGGGCTTAACCACAACGTTAGGCTGCAAAGAGCATTTTAGTCATTCTCCGTAACAGTAAAACTGGAGCTAACCCAAACCTCAATGGCTAGAATTATACCATTATACATTAATTTGATGGAATAGCATATAAACCCGTTTAAAATAACGGCTAGAAAAAAATTCCGTCCCAGAAGGCCAACTTTTAAATATCCGACGCTATCAAGGGTCGGGAGCAGGCGTAGTGGCAGCTCAGGCACTGACTTGTTCCCTAGCACAGGGATTTCAAACTTCAGTTTGCGTGTGAGTCTCCTGCAGCTCCTGTTAGAACGCAGATTTCGATTACTAGGTAGGTGTGGCAAGGGGCTTGCGATTCAGCAGTTCTAACCAGCCCCCAGGGGACACTGACGCGGCTGGCTGTGGCCGCTGTTCCTCAGGCTGCCTCACTTCTGCACCTGACCACCGGCGTGAGGTTTTTCCACGGCTTCTCTGAGAGGTACACCGCAAAGCCTTCATACTTGAACCCACATTTCTTTGGGCAAAGCTGAAGTTGCACATCTTTCAATATGTACAAGCCCGCTTGTCCTTAAGGAGGCCTTTTTTATACGAGGAAAAAACCCAAGACGCCGGTCACAGACCTTCCGGGCCACCGCCAAGCCGGGAGCCTCTCGAGCACGTAGGACCCCGCCGGCGCCGCGGGGCGCCCACGCCCGGCGCGGACGGTGACGTCATCGGCGCGCGGGGGCGGGGCCTTCTTTCACGTGACCCTAAGGGCACGCGCGCTCGGTCCGAGACTGCGCGGGTGCAGCGTTTCTTCCCGAGCTGCGCCGCCGGTTCTGGCTAATGCGGCTCGGACCCGGGCTGTGGCGGGAGGGAAGATGCCACGGCCCGAGCCCCAGAGGGCCGGGATCCTGCGCTGCCGGCGTCGGGGTGAGTAGCGCGCGGTCTGGCGCGGCGGCGTCTGAGCCCGCGCGGCCTCCGTCGTCCCCTCAGTGCCTCCAGCGAGCGGCTCCGGCGCGCGGCCCCGAGACCCCGAGGGCTGACGGCTGCGCCCGGAGCCTGGCGCTGCTGGCGGCGGGCTGCAGTGTCAGGCCGCGCAAGCACGGCCCCCCGGTGACTGGGTGTTGACGGAGGAACCGCCTGCGGGCTCCGGCGCGCCCATGTGGGCGGGGGCTGCGGCGGAGGTCGCGGAGCCGTGGGCCCGGGTCTCCCGCCTGTGTTTTCGGGAACGAGGGCCGGAGCCCTGCGGCTCGGTCTTCCAAGAGAAGAAAGTGGTGCGGCAGAAATGGTAACGGAGGATGTCCAACGTGAACGCTAGAGAGGAGTGAATGATGCACCCTCCCCCGGTCCCCCCCCCCCCCCCCCCCCCCCCCCTCCCCCCCACTCCTCCCTCCCCTCCCTTCCCTTCCTCCCCTCCCTCCGCCGCCACAATATCCAGGCAACTCGCATTTCCCGGGAAGGCTCAACAACTTGTACTTACACATGGCATTTGGTTGATGTGCCTCTAGTTTCTCTTTTATTTTTGTTTGCAATATACTTGTTGGAGAAATTGGGTTGTTTATCTTGTATAATTTCCCACGTTCTTAAATTCCGTGGCTGTTGGATCAATCTGAAAATACCAAGTCCCTGTCTCCAGTTCTGAAAGACTTCATCCTTTGAGGAATATTAATATGCTCATGATAGACTAGTTTCGTTTATTTTTACCATCAAAGAAGATTTGGGTCAGCATTCCTTTTTTACTTTGTGTTATGAAAGCAACTGTTTGGTTGATCGGTTTTCCAAATATAAGGTGAAATTACGACTTTGAATGTGCTTTTCATAGTATTACTGTGCACTCTTACCCCAAATCACAGGTTTAGACTGGACTTTAAAGTGTGTTTGTTTTACTCCACTCTGTTCTTCCCGTTTATCCAGAAATTTGTATGTCGAAATCTACTCTGCCTTAAGAAAAATAAAACTTTTCTCCACTCTCAGTATGTATCAGTTGAGCTTTTCAAGTTAAAGATGGTGAAAGAGTAACCCACAGTTTTCTCATCTTCTCTTGACAGTTTCTTTGCTGTTTGTTCCTTGCAATTTGGGTTCCATTTTTTTTCCTTTTTTAAACTTTTTTTATTGTAAAATATATACAACATGAAATTTATCATTTTAACCGTTTTTAAGTGCACAGTTCACCTGCATTAAGTACTTTCACAGTATTGTGTCACCATCCCACTATTTCCAAAACGTTTTAATCACTCCAAGCAGAAACTCTGGAACCATTAAGCAATAACCCCATTTCCCCCTTCTCCCAGACCCTTTCTGTCTCTCTGAATTTGACTCTCTAGATACCTCGTGCAAGTGGAATCATACAATATTTGTCTTAATTGTGTCAGGCTTATTTCATGTATTGTTTCCAAATTTCATACATGGTGAGCATCTGTTAGAGTTCATTCCTTTTTGTGGCTGAATAATAGTTTTCATTTTTTGTCTATATCACAGTTTATTGGTTCATCTCTTGAGTGGCACTGGGGCATACTGGGGGGTTTCCACCTTTTGGCTACTGTGCATAGTGCTGCTATGAACATGAGGTTACATATATCTTTTTGATTCTTTGGGGTATATATGTAGGAGTGGAATTGTTGGATCATATGGTATATCTGTTGGACTTTTTGAGGAACTAACAAACCCTTCACATTTTTAAACTGCTTTTTTAAGACCTTCATGCCTTGCTATGGCTAAATCTGATTGCCCCACCTCAACTCCTGCTGACTTGACCTCTAAATCTTTGTGACACCTCATGTCGCTGGTCAGTACCCCCTCTTGAGGGTCTCGATTTTGTGATCCTTCTCATGTCCTTTATTAGTACTTCCTTTTCCACCAGATTTTTAAATGTCCATGTCCCCAGAGGTTTAGTGCTTGATCCCTAATCCATTACGTAAACCCTCTTCTGCTATTATTTCTGTGGAACTTGAACTAAAATTTTGGTGTTTATTTTTAACATTGCTCTGAGGCTTAGATTTGAATTTCAAGCTAGATTTTTCCCCCTCTGTCCCAAATACACTGCTGCTAGAATTTTCTCTCAAGATGTATTTGCTTAAAGACATTAGTTAGCTTATTTTTGCATGCAGAACAAGTTAATTCTCATCCTCAGGGTCAGAACCCCAGCCTGCCCTCAGAGGTAATTAATTACCTTCCACTAGTCTTTTTTTTTTTTTTTAAGATGTTATTTATTTGACAGAGAAAGACACAGTGAGAGAGGGAACATAAGCAGGGGGAGTGGGAGAGGGAGAAGCAGACCTCCCGCCGAGATACGGGGGCTCCATCCCAGGACCCCGGGAACATGACCTGAGCCGAAGGCAGACGCTTAACGACCGAGCCACCCAGGCGCCCCCTAGTCTTAACCAGCCAATCTATTCATTATAGCCAGTCGTTCTACTTGCCATTCTGTTTGGAAAACTGAAAACAAATACATGTTGCAGTTTTCCAAGACTTGAACTTTCTCCTCAAAATATTTCAGTATTTGGCCATTGAAGTCTTATTTTTTAAAACCAAATTTAAATATCAGCTTCGAAAAGAAATTTTCTTCAGGTTTTTCATACAGTCTTTTTTTCATCTGTAACCCCACCTGTCTTACCTCCTATTGGTGAATTTGAAGCAAATCTCAGGTATCATAGGATTAGATTATTTTAGCTGTATAAAATAAGGTCATTCTGACTTCTAGTCTTTCTTGTTTTTTTTTTTTAAGATTTTATTCATTCTAGAGAGAATGTGTGTGTGCATGGGCATGAGTGGGGGGCGGGGGGCAGGGCAGAGGGAGAGAGAGAATCTCAAGCCACCTCCCCACTGAGTGTGGAGTCCTACACAGGGCTCAGTCTCACAACCCTGAGATCATGACCTGAGCTGAAACCAAGAGTCGGACGCTTAACCATCTGATCCACCTAGGCACTCCTCTAGTCTCTTTTTAAAATAAATTTTATTTAGAATAGTTTTAGATTTATAGAAAATAGCAAAGTAGTACTGAGAGTTCTTTTATATCCCATGCCAAGTTTCTCCTATTATTAACAACCTGTATTAGTGTGGTATATTTGTCACAATTAATGAACCAATACTGATACATTATTAACTAACATCCAGGATTTATTCATATTTCCTTAGTTTCTTTCTTTCTTTTTTTTCCCCCCTGTTCTAAGGGCATTAGGTAAAAACGAAGGGTCCCATCCAGGATACCACATTGCATTTAGTCATCTTGTCTCCTTAGGCTCTTCTTGGCTCTGACAGTTTCTCAGATTTCCCTTGTTTTTGATGGCCTTGACAGTTTTGAGAATACTTGTCAGGTATCTTGTAAAATGTCTGTCACTTGGGATTTGTCTGATGTTTTTCTCATAATTAGATAGCATTTCCATTCCAGAGTGGGAGGACAGTGCCCAAAATGCCACCAGGTGTGGGTCCTAGCGGGGTGATTCAAGACCTCTATCTTAAATGGGACCAATGGCACAAATGTTTAAAGACCCACAGCCCTGCCCAATTGGCCACCAACATCCTGTCGTCTGGGCACTGGCCATTATATTGCCCTAATTTCAACACTCATTGGCTGATAAGCTTATGCAGTTCTTAACTCCTCTCTGGTGATGCAGGGCCAAACATTAAATTATTGGGAACATACAACTAAATTTTCTTTAAAACAAGGCTTCATGTGTGTCCCCAACCTCTACTCTTCACAAGTGGATACCTCCTGTGCCTCAGGAGAGCACCACCCAGTCATTTGCGAGGTGTGCCTCTGGGGACCACCCCCCCAGAATTTATTGAAAACTTGTAATACCAGTAAATGCTCCCAATGGTGCAAACAAACCTTAATCGGGGCATCCCAAATCTGTGCGATCCTGTTCGATCCCCTGCCCCTCAGTTCCCCTACCTGGGAGAGCCACCCTTCAGGGATGGCTCCCTCCACCTGTGCCCAGTGCTGGCGATGACAGTGCCCCAGCCCATGAATCGCAGGACCCAATCTCATATTGAATGCTGCCTGCACAGCCTTCCAGTAGAGCAGAGATGACACTGAGGAGACTGATGACAGTGGCTGATGATGGCAAGCCCTCCCTGGGACTTGGGTGCCGAACTGACTCCTTGTGACGATCCCATTAAATGACATTTTGCAGAGCTAACTGTGTGTGTACCCCAGGACGCTCTACTTACTGCAGGGCTTGCTGCTCTAATGTGAGGTGGTACTTTGACTGCCAAGCTGCTCTCCACTGCACCTTTGAGCTTTGGAAGGCCTAGGTATGTGTTGAGTCTCACAACCTTTGGGGGACCCCTTTAAACACTTAGTTGTTTTCCTTTGCTTTACTCATTGGACTGGCCCACATTGCATCCTACGGAGAGTTAGTGAATTTAATTTCTGTTGCAAGGACCCCTTACCAGCTACAGGTACTGCCACCACCACAGCATTCCCCTCTACACCCTCCAGAACCACAGCTGCAGGGTCACTTCCCTGTACCACCCCAAAAAGACCCTTTCCCATGGTCACCACTCAGGGCTCCATAATCTTCCTGTTCAAGCCCTCCAGTAAACTTAATATTTTTATACAGTAGGCAGAAACTGGAGCTCATTTCTTAGGCCCCCGTAATTGCTGGGCACATTACCAGGCTGAACAAAAAAGACTGTTCCTGGAGTTAGTGGCCTACCGGCTGATTATTGACCCTGTCGCATTTGCCCAACAGAAGGTACCTCACATGTCCCTGCAGCTTACCTGGCCACTCTCTGAGGTTCAGCTGCTCCCATGCAGGACACTTTGCAATGCAGTGTGTGGCATCTGGCTGGAGCCCTGACATGCCCTTTGTAATCCTCCATATCTGCCCAGGTAACACCACCGCGTAGATGAACATGACCTACACCTCATCCCAAGGAACATAATCCCCACAGTTTTGGGCCTCGTGGCCTAGCCATCCAGGGGGAACCCCAACTTATTTCACTTCCCTGATGAAGCAGTTGGTGTCCGCTGTGGGTCCAGTGCCTTGGAGCCATCACACATCTTTGTACTTCTCTTTCCTTCACCCCCTGACATATGCCGGCCTCCAGGCAGTCCTGTCTGTTCATACCAGTGTAGTTTAATCTCCCTGGGACTACCCTTAATTACTGAACAGGACCTCTGACCTGCCTCTCTTTCTGCCCCCTCATGTCGAAAGTGTATGTAATATTTATCCCCATGATATTGGGAGTAGGTCTGCTGCTGTCGCTCACATGGGCTAGGCTAGTCGCCACTGCACGGGGCATACAACAACAAATCAGTAAGGCTGAACGGGTACAAATATTCCA